CAACAACACTAAAAGCCTAGCTTTACGAGCAGCCAAACAGAAGAGGTTCTTCATTTAATTTTATCCCTCATGATTAATTCATCGTGACATACACCTGCTGTTGGATATTCATTTACACATAGCCATTTAAATAATTTTTAATCCCATTATCGATATTCTTTATTTGATGGACAAGAGATACCTTCACGTGAGACCAACTTTTTTACATCTATTTATGTCTCTTTTATGTTTTTCAACCATGCTTGCCATTCTTTTATCATATTGGATGCTTTTGGACCTATTATTTCTCATTTGAATGTCATCTGCTTCACGTTAGTACATATGCTTAATCTTCCGTGGGGCTAAACACCTATGCACTAATTTCTCATTTGAATGCCATCTGCTTCAACGCTAAAGGCTAGATGCTTATCGGGATCTTGTCTATAAATAAGTGAGGTCATTAAGAACTTTTAGCACTCTGCACTAATTTCCATTGAAATTCTCAAAATCCGTCGGGGTCGACAAAGACCCCGATGACAAGCTGTAGCTCCGCCCCTAACTCCTATATACTCATTAAAATATGTTAGTCCTTAATCATGTTGTCATTAGTCCAGTCTCAATGGGGATTCCGTAGAGTTTCATGGCCATTAAATATGCTGACATGACACTGTCTTGACGAAGAGAGAGAAGATAAAAGTTTCATGGAAGTAGAGAGAGTTTTATGGGGATGAAACTCTTCTGCACTGTTTTTAAAATATAGGTGTGTTGGAAACTGGGAGATGAAACCCCCACTGAGACTGGCCTTAATCCATCAAGACCTAGATGCACTTTCACATACAGCTTTGAAACAAATACATGGAAATAACTTTCTCAAAGGTGGCCAAGGATTGAAAAATTGTCTAAAGTAGCAAAGCCATTAGTCCGACACTATGACTAGTTTGCTGCCTAAAAACAAATTAGTTGATTTTATTTAAAAACGAATGTTTATATGAGACATCACTTGAACACTCAACACTCGTATATGTGTTTAGGGCTCAAACAAAAAACAAACCTTCATCACGAAAGCTCGCCCTTCTCACTCGAAGATGGACACTATTTGTTTTGAGAGTTACAAGTTGAAAATAATTCGAATAAATCAAAGTTCTTCACCAAATTTCTAGCATGTATTTAATTTATGAAACCATTTCATAAAAAATAGATCAAAATCTCTACATTTATTGGAGTTTTTTTTTGGAAAACGCATTCTTAAATGATAACTTGAGTGCCAGCTCGGCACCCAAATCCGCTTAGCCTTGATCTGAGCCCAACCGGTCTGAACGCACTTCCTGTTTAAGCTAAGTTTTGGGTTGGCTTGATCCACCACCCCACCACCTTAGGCCTCGTTCGGTTCTCTTGGATCGGCCCGGAACGAGGTCCATTCCACGCGGATCGGGTCGGCGCGGAATGAATACCAGCCCAGCGCGGAACAGGCGGCTAAGGCCGGCCTAGATTCCAATCTGGCCCATTTCGACCATTCAGTCCCCTCTGCAACCCGGAACCGATCCCCACTGTCGGTGTTTTCGGACCACCGACGAGTAAATTTGTATTTGCGCGTCTGGCTCGAATAATGTGCTCTAAGGACACAAGGGTTTTTACTGGTTCGGGCGGAACGTCCCTACGTCCAGTTTGTTGCTGCTCGTGTTACCGGCACTTGGTTTGCTGTAGGGGTTACAAACGAGCGAGAGAGGGAAAGAATCCCAAGTCTCTGGTGAAAGGAATGAACGGGTGCTGAGAGCTCAATCGCTGCTCAGCCATGTGCTCGTGTGTTTTTATCTCATGGTTCAGTCTTGTGCGGATCTGGATGGATCCGCCCCCCTTCATGGGGCGCCCTGCTTTCCCTTTTATAGGCCAAGTGAAAGCGTGGGTTACAGTGGAGGAAAAGGAGAAGAACCAGAGAAAAGGAGGCTTTCAGGATGGTCGGGTCCTTCTTCTCCTTCATGCGGGTTCCACCAATCCTGTAGATATCAACAGGGACGGCTCCACGTCGCGGCCCTGTTCGTCACTGGCTCCATGCGTAGGCGTCATCTGCTAGTCATGGCGTCCCATTCCATCCTGGCGGGCGTCGTGGTGAACTGACACGCCTGTCAGCGTTCATACGAGGGTTAGGCAGAACAGTACCGGCACGCCCGACGCTGTTCTTGATGTGAATTCTCAGGTATGGCCCGTCATGGACACGGGTTACATCGAGGCGTGCTGGTCTGTTCCTTGGTGTCAGAGTTTTGACCAAGGTTGATACGCTTGGATCTGGAGTGGTTGGTGGCGGTATGGGTCCCCGTCGGGCGAGACTGAGCCCGCACCCAAGGGGTCGGGCGAGACGGAGCACAAACCCAAGGGTCGGACGAGGCGGAGCCCGCGGCCTCGGGGTCAGGCGAGGCAGATCCCACGGCCTCGGGGTCGGACGAGATGGAGCCCCCTACCCAGAGGTCGGGCGAGGCGGGGGCCCCGACCCAGAGGTCGGGCGAGGCGGAGCCCGCGCACCTGGGGTCGGTTGGAGCTGTAGTCGCGCTCTTGACTGCTCGGATGAATTAATGTTGATGACCATTAGCTCCTCTTCTTTGGGTACCCTAGTATTGGTCCCCGGCACCCACCTATGACCATGTGGAACAGATCCCTTTGGAATCCTAGTTCAGGAATGAAAAGAGGGTCGGATTCAAACATTAGCTGTCGAACGAGGCCTTCCTCGCTTCCTTTCCTCCTCTCTCTTTCTTCTCATCCCTAACAAGCCAGCAATGAGTGGGTCTCACCTAGCGGTAATATATAGAAGGAAGAGGAGCACATGTTCATTTGGGCCAAACCTCTAGGGTGAGACACCGCTCGATCCGCTTCATGTAGCTCAAGGTGGAAAATAAGGAAGGGAAAAGGGCAAAGAGGTTGATCGAGATTTGGGGTGGTGATTGGTTTAGGCAGGCTTCAAGAAATATATTTTTAATAAACATGTTTTATGCGTACTCTAAAATTAATTCAAATTTGGTTTGAATTCATTGTGTATTTCAAAGAGCAAATTAAATTTAAATAAGAACCAAACACTCATGCAAATCAAAATGGTATCAGCAAAATCAGTTTGGAATAGGGTGAGGTGTCGGTTTTGTTTAGAGGGTTGACTTTTGCTTCAACGCACTACCCCAGCCAGGTGTTTCCTGACGGGCAGAACCGTCATAGAAAGTGCCCCAAACCATTAGGGAAGCCTATTCCTGACGGTTACTGTCAAGGATCAGCCGTTAGGAAACAATTGTCAGGGAAAGTTGACCTTCCCTGACGGAAAACCGTCACGGATTGGTTCCTGACGGTTGTACCCGACGGGGAAATCAAACACCAACTAACAAGATTTAGATACTTGATATATTTGCACATAAATCTTAATACTAAATTGTGGTGTGTTACTATCCTCACCCGGTCACCCCTAACAGGAATCTTGTCTTCGAAATTCAGGGTCCTACTCTTAAAAATGTGAGGTTATTCCTCCCTCAAATCTTCTTTCTACTTGATTTAGTCCAATAGACTTGTATCTAGACAATGGAACAAATAGTCATGATTATTATTGATGTGTGAAAATGTGGTCATCGATTAGATGGTGGTTGTATATACATGATAGTCAGGATATTCTATGATTATTAGAAATATACAAAAACTTGACTCCTCTTACAGAAATTCAGGAATGTTTCAATCACTTCCTCAAAATATGGTGAATGAAGTTGTTAGTTCTTGGAAGTTTACAAATGTCCTAACATTAGACCAAATGAAATGAACCAGCCTATGTTAAGTTCGAGGTACAACAATAGAGCTCCTTTTTGGGGTGTATGTGTTGGAGGATTGAGGTTCAAATAAAAACGAAAAAAGATCAAAGAACAAATTGTTGTGAGAATCTCTCATGATATGTTTTGAATAAAAGGAAAATTCATGGTCGGTACTCAAACTTGGCATGAGATGTCATCCAGGTTCATGTACTATCAAAATGTTATTTTAGGGTCCTTAACCTGGGTTCTGGGTTTCATCTGGGTCCAAAACAGGTCGTCTTAATACACCCTACACGCTGATGTGGTACGCTAACTATACATCTGACTTGTGGAACCCTCAGGTTAGGTCCACCTCATCTTCTCCTTCCTCGCTCGGCATGCTCTTTGTCTTTCTCGCTCTCTCTCCATTGACCCAAAGCCCGACACGCTAGCATGCCACTACCCTAGCCCCCAGGGTTGCGCGCCCAGGCTTCGCCGTCATCCCACCGAGTCAAGCCCCCTGGCCGCGCCGCCACCAAGAGGCCTAGTGAGCATGTTGGCTAGTAGACTAGTACATTGCTAGAATGCTAGTGCATGGTATACGAACTCGTCTGCTCGTGCTAGTAGCATGTAGGTGTACATTGCTAGAATGCATGTACACAAGGCACACAATTTTCCGGGCCAAAACTCGTACTTTGTGGCTGTAGGGGATCGAGCTCGTGACCTTGCGCCTTGGATTTTTTAACACTTTTTGTAAACTAATTTTAAATCTAACCCTGTTTAATTTTTTTTCCAAAACTAACACTTTTGGCCGCGCCTGTTACCATGGAGCGGCGAAACATCTGTGCCACGCCATGCATGGTGGCGCGGCGAGAGGGATGACGTGGCGATGACCGGGCCGCTGACCGGTGACATGGTAGGGTCTGCCGCGCCACCGATCTTGGCACGACAATGACGCGCCCTGATCAGTGGCGCGGCAGAGCTGGCTAGAGGCCCGCGGCCCAGTCCCGCCGCGCCACGCCCTGCCCACCCGCCTGCCCACACACACCCGCCGCGCCTGCCCGCCGCTCAAGCCCGCCGCGCCCACTGCTCACAAGAGCATTATTGTTGCCTAGCGCATGATCGTCCATGTACCCTTGCCAAGCATAAAAGCTTTAATATCACTACTACAAAAGTTGGCACCAACGGCTGACACACATGACCATAAGCGACTCTTATCAAACCCAAAAGCACAAGTCGAAAACAGCAGCAGAAAGCACTTCCCAAATCTCACTCTTTGCGAATGATACGCACATTCATCCTGTACTTCTTGGTCTTCAGTGGCTCAAAGAGGCAGATATCTCCCAGCTGCAAATTGTTGTCACGTGCAAACCGTGCCCACCCTTTGGAAAGCCTTTTAACTTTGCGTTGAGCTTTTGGAACCTGAATGCGGCAAATCACTTCCCAACTCTTGCCATGACACTGAAGAATCAACACTCTACTCTTCAATGGAAGACATACATCAGAGTATTTTCTAGAGAATTTCTGGTTATAGAGGGAAAGGGTTTTCAGTGTTCGAAAGTCAAAACAGTTAAAGTTTCCATTGAACTTAGCTTGTAAATTTCTTCAAGGAGTCTAGGAAGCTAAACAACCTGCTTGCTGAAGGACGTGCAATTGAAATGCAATATTAATATCAATCTGGAACCAAAAAAAGAGAAAAACCTAACTCACCATAGCTTGAGATCTTCCAGAAATGTTTGACTTCTTCACGACACACACATAGATGGGGATTTCAGAACAAATAACTAGGAGTCTCTCTTTCAGTTTCTTCTTTTGCATACTATCAAGGCTGATGCCTCGTGGGAGCATGTAACTCGGAACAGAATGTGCTTCATCGTCCTCTGAAGATGTCATTCCTCCTATGACCAAACAAAACAATGATGTCATGATCTTGTAGATATACATAGATGCTACTAGGTTTGATGACATTGTGACTCAACCTGATGAGTTGGACAGGGATCTTGATGAACTGATATTGATCCTACTCCTGTCCCTTTGCTTCAATGCTTTCTTTTTAGTTTTTGGTGTTCTCATGGGAAGATTAGCATAGCTGCTTGAAATATCAATGGGTTCTTTTCTCTTCCGTCCATCATTAATAGCATTTTTCGTGACAAAACATGGTGGTACTTTCTCACAACCACTAGGATCAAATACCAGAACCTTCATCCGATACATCCCATCATACTTGAATACTAAGAAGTCCATCTTTTGCAAGTCATGGACACTAACAAATAAATCCACCTTGATCCGATACTTACGTTCTCATATAATCTTTGCAACCGCAGTCATACCGTAAATTTGCTAAACATTTCGGAGACAAAATAGAAGGAAGTATTACCCTTGAATCACTTGGCGGTTATACTTTTGATGTTCAAGTTGCAAAGAATATGGGCAGAATAGTGCTTCAATCCGGGTGGAAGTCATTTGTTAGTGCCCATGACTTGAAAAAGATCGACTTCTTGGTATCCAAGTATGATGGGATGTCTCGGATGAAGGTTCTGATATTTGATCCTAGTGGTTGCGAGAAAGTACCACATGTTTTCTCTTTTTTTTGGTTCTAGATTGATATTAATATTGCATTTCAATTGCACACTAGACCGGGCCGGGAGGCGCGGGCGCCGATGGAGGGCGGTGGCAAAAGGGCGGCGCGGCGCGGCGGCGGGCGCAAAGCGCCAGCGCCGCGGCGCGGCGGGCAGGCGCCAAAGCGCCAGCGCGGAGTGGCGCGGCGACGGCAAGGCGCAGGCGCGGCAAAGCGCTGGCGCGGCGCGGGCAGGCGGCTAGGCTCGGGCGGGCGCAACGGTATTTACCTGGCTCTGCTGTGACACCGATCAGGGCCCCGGTTGTCGCCACGTCAACCCTCTCGCCGCGCCACCATCTATGGCGCGGCACAGGCGTTTCGCCGCTCCAGTGAAATAGGCGCGGCCAAAAGTATTAGTTTTGAAAAAAAATTAAACAGTATTAGATTTAAAATTAGTTTACAAAAAATGTTAAAAAAATCGCGCCTTACGTGTTACTCTTCTAGCCACTTTATCCCCGACTAAGTTGTGTCCATATGAGATATTCTTTCTTCTCGTATTATATTTATCTTATTTAAATGAGTGTTTGGGCCACTGCATCTGCACGTCCACATGGAGTGTTCTACGAAGGACCAGTCGTCATCCGACCATATACAAATAATGCAAGGTACAAATAATAGGTCAACTTGGCCATAACGCACGGTGGCACGAATTTATAATATGAGATAAGTACCATTGAATTGATTATAAAATATATTTTTATAATAAATTTAGATGGAGATATAAATATTAATAATGTTTACTAGCTATATCAAAGTTAAGCTTGACTTATAAATCTCGTGATTACAGCAGGTGCATGCACTATTGCACTGCTCCGGTCCATCTATCGCGTCTGTCTGTCCTCGAGCGCTGTGTAAACTGCCTCATGCATGGGCGCGTGTGAAACGTGGTGCATCATGCATGTGAGTGGTGGTGGTGTGTACACATGCATGTCTGCATGTGCGGTACCTTGTACTGCATCATGCGTGTGAGTGGTGGAGTATAAAGTTGTTTTTTTCTATAACAACCTTGTGTAATAAAGTTTTTTTTGACCAATACCTTGTGTAATAAAGTTGTAAGAATGCAGAAACAAAGCAAGGCGAAGCCCTCACTCAATGCCGGCCTGAAATTTCAAAAAACCATTCCATTTGTCACTCAGATAACGATGATACAGGGAAATGTGTGTACGGGGACGGGGGAACCGTTCTCCTCTAGTAGCTACTACTAATTCAAATTTATAGGGTAGATCTAAACGAATCCAGGAATTAGATCATCTAATTATTAGTTGGATACTAGCTAAAGATCTACTCCATTAGTCCCAAAATAAGTGCACATCTCACACAGTAAAGAGTCAACTCATCCCAAGTTTGACTAAATTTATAAAAAAATAGTGTTAACATTTGTATCTCTAATTAGGTTTACAATAAAATATATAGTATGATAATCTAATGATGTGTATTTTGTATCATAAAACCTAATACTTCTCTGTATATATATTTGCTCAAACTTAGTATCTCTAACTCCTTAAAGTGCGAGATGTGCACTTATTTTTTTGAATGGAGGAGTATTTGATCACATGACTAATAAACTTTAGCCACACAAAGTTTATTCCTAGTATATCTAAACAGATAAACTAAAAATTGACTAACTTTACTTTAGCCTAGCCTAACTAGTTGTTAGGGTCTGCTTGATACAACTCAACTTCATTGGTGAAATAGTTTTCTTTGGTTCAGTAAAAGCATTTTCACCGGTGAAGCTAAAGCTATTTTCATAAAATATTTGGTAAAACAGCTTCTCAAGGAAGATACACTAGCACATAATAGAACTTTACATGCGGCCAAAATCATTTTCTAGAGGCGAGCTCACTGTCCGCCTCCGTCATTTCTCCCGTGTTAATGAAAAATTACGGAGGCGGTAATAGTGCCCGCCTGCATTAATAAAAACAAAAAAAGGCCCGCTACAATGCGCGGTCCCGAGCCCATTCCAAGCCCGCTTCTAGATCCATCATCACTTTGCTTATTGTCGTAGAACCGACAATGCAAACATATCCTAACCCATCGCCGCTCGGATCTCAACCCATTGCCGCCGCTTTCGTCATGTAGATCCGACAAATCCCGACCAACCACCGCCGGATCTCAAAGAGCCACCGCCGAATCGACTCCACTCTGTCGTGCGCATTGGCCTCCTCCAGCCTGGACTGAGAGCCTAGAGGAGAAGAGATGTACTGGCTTCGGTGTTCGACTGCATCGAGGAAAGATACCAAATGCGCCGTCGCCGCTACCGGAATCAGTAGCTTTGCCGTGTGTCTAGGACACACGGCGAAACCCAAAAAACACTCGGCAAAGGCTTTGCCGAGTGTTACACTCGGCAAACGGCACTCAGCGAACAAAGACTTGGCAAAGCTGTCTTTGCCGAGTGTTTTTTGTCCAGCACTCGGCAAACACTTTGCCGAATGCTAAACCGACTGAAAGCATCTAGGCCCCTAAGTGGATTTCGGTGATTAATGTCAATACAAGATTACTATGACTAACGTATGTTTTGCAGAGGCAATTAAGTTAGGTCATGGTAATGGAGATCGATTGGGCAATTAAGGTTGTCATGCCCCTACGATGGAAATCGTTTCGGTTTTCAAAGGATGGACGACAAGGTTAAGGATAACTAGTTCTAAGTGTCAATTGAAGTTGGAGAGACACTTAGAGTAGTTTAGGACTTTGTTTTTTCCTTTGGCCGTACTATGAAGGGGGGTATGAACGGGTAGCTTGACCTAGTTGAGTCTAGTGAGTTAGGTGTGGTGCACACTTGTTAAAACTAGCCCTAGGTAGCTCCTATGAATGCCTAAGATCCTTTGGAGCTGACTTCATTCACAAATGATCGAGAGTTGGAAGTGAATGGAGGGTCAAATCTTGACGACGGCTGGCTGCTCGGTCGCGACCGGACGCCGGGCCGCAGGTCCGGCCGAGTTCATTTGATCGTGGAGAACAAGTCTGGAGTGACCGGACGACCGGAAGGTCGTGTGTGACCGGACGCTGAAGGCCAGCTGTCGGTCGACTCAAAGAAGGGTCTAGACTTGAGAAGTGTGATCGGACGCCAGTCCGAGTCGGTGGTGACCGGACCACGAGTATCCAACGTCCGGCCATTTACAAGATAAGCATCCAAGATCGACCGGACGTGTCGGTCGGTCTAAGGCTTAACCGGACCTCGCCGTCGTCCGGTCATCACTTGAAACTGCTATGCTGGTTGAACTGACCGAGCGTCCCGGTCAATATGATCGAGCGTCCGGGCATCCCGCAAAAAGCTCATAACGGTTCATTTTTCAGTCGCCTTATAAATAGAAGCTCCACTGTGTGTGGAGTTACTTTTGCTCATTCCAATAGCTGAGAAACACGTTTGTGAGTGCCAAGAAGAGCAAGGTCCTAGTGAGGTGTTTGTGATTTGAGAATCAAAGAGTGAAACCTCATTAGTGAATCAAGAGTAGACAAGTGTGCATCCATCTTCTCATTAGGCTTCGTGTGGTCAAGTGAGAGTTCGTGCTTGTTACTCTTGGTGATCGCCATCACCTAGACGGCTTGGTGGTGATTGGGAGCTTGGTGATCACCCGGCGGAGCTTGTGGGTGACCCAACTCAAGTTGTGAGCGGTTTTGGGTGATTCGCCGTGACGGAGTGTCGAAGAATCAACCCGTAGAGAGCACTTGATCCTTACGCGGATCAAGGGGGAGCTACACCCTTGCGCGGGTGCTCCAACGAGGACTAGTGGGGAGTGGCGACTCTTCGATACCTCGGCAAAACATCGCCGCGTTCCTTTCTCTCTCTATTTACTTTGAGCAATTCAATACTTGTTTCACATCCATAGAATTGCTTGCTAGAGTAAGTTTGGAACATAGGTTGCGAGGTTGTTGTGCATTAGTTTGACATAAACACTTTTCTAGGCACAAGGGGTTAATTGGGCTATCCGTAGGATTTGATTATTGCAAGAAAATTTAGAATTAGCCCAATTCACCCCCCCCTTTTGGGCATCTTGATTCTTTCAATTGGTATCAGAGCCTCGTGCTCACGTTTTTTTAAGCCTAACCGCTTAGAGCAAGATGTCTCACGGGGATGGACCTCCTCCTATCTTCGAGGGGGGTGATTTTCCTTATTGGAAAATTCGCATGGAGGCTTACCTAGAAGCTCTAGATGTTGTAATTCTTAGAGCCGCCTCTCAAGGGTTCCCAACACCTAAGAATGCCGCACAACTCCAAGGCGATGAAGTAAACTATGAAAAATGGAATGCAAAGGCTCGCAACACCATCTTTAGAGGCCTTTGCAAAGATGTGTTCAATCGTGTAAGGAACCACAAAGACGCCCATGCTCTATGGTCGGACGTTTGTGCGCTCCATGAGGGAACCAAGAGTGAGCGTGAGGAACGCTATCATCTTGTGATTAAAAAGCTAAATTCTTTTGAGATGCTTCCCAAAGAAAGTGCTAATGAAATGTATTCTCGTTTAAATGTTCTTGTAGAGGAAGTCAATGGGCTTGGACTTACTCAAATGTCACCATCCGACGTTGTGAGAAAGATCTTGAGTGTCCTCCCCATTGACAAATATGGGCACATTGTGACCGTGCTACATCAAGGTGATCTTTCCGCCGCTACACCGACACAAATCTTGGGAA